TTATTTATAAATATTTATAATTTTTAATAATATATGGTTAATAAGAATCTATTTTAAGCTTACAAACAAATAAATTTTAGTTTTTAATATAGTACAGAAAAAAAGTAATCTAAATTTACAAATACATGTATGTACATATTTGTAAATGTACATGTTTACAATTTGGCAATGTTTACAGTACATCGCAGACTCTTTATTTGTGAATGTGGTTTGCTCTAAGACATTATAAAATAAAATGATTTTATAAGGTTAAATAACAAATACAGTTATTAAAATTATTTTGTGATAGTAGAAAATAAACTAATTTATGTTAAATTTACCAACATCGAGTGGCGCTGACAACAATGCCAAATGGTAGATATTAGAACTACCGTGAAAAACACCAATATTCAGCTCTTAAAGACTGTTAAATAAGACAACAACAACAACACAGAGGGACAGATGTTTTCATGTTTCATTCTCTAGGATTTATGATGATTATATTAACATTTACTGTAAACGTATTTTCATATAATTTTATGTGCTTTTAACACTTTTCTAGTGATATTACAGTTTCAATATTTGTGGCGGACAGATGTAAAGTCGAACAAAATGACTTATATGGGGAAAAAAAGTCAAGTTTATTTTTTTTGACAAATGACGTATAATCGAGAACCACTTAATTCAAAATGACGTAACCCAAGGTATACCTGTATTCATATCCTTTTAATTTTGTGGTTTTGTTCAGGGACAAAACAACAAAATTAAAAGATCGACTGGGCGATAATCATTTGGGCAACAAACCAATAGCAATACAAAAAATTATTTAATTTTTTTTTGTCATTTTGTTTATTAAAATCATTTTTTTCTGTTGATCTACTTCCCAGTAAATTTAAATAATATGTTTTTGAAAAACAAATTAAAAGAATGATCTAAACATAAAATTTAAAAATGCTCACTTATAATTAAAGTTTATTTTTATTGTGTAGAATTACAAAATTGTACAGAATTATTAAATTTTTCATGCAAAAAGGTGTCAGGTAGTTTAATATTTACATTTATATCATACATCAAAATTTTTAGATTCATTTAAGAAAGTGGTCAGAAAATGATTTATTATTTTCCAACCAATACTATTTTGTAATTAACATACATATTTACATACTGTATATATATATATATATATAAAAACAAAAAACAGTATGACATTCAAAATACATTTATTTTAAATTTATTAATTTGAAAAATTTGTTTTCAAAGAACTGGTTTTATTTTGGTGTGCTTTGTTAACCATTTTTGAGATATAATAATTAACAATGCTACAGTGTTCCGAAACTGCAACATTTATAGATTTTTCCCATTCAACACATCCAATGTATTATTGTATAATTCTGTGCCTATCAGCATAGCATTTTCAGATAATGTATCAGAAGATGTTATTGCAATTAAATTATTTTCGAAAAGTAAACTCTCATAATACACTACTCCATCTTTTAGCTGCTGCTTCGATACATCACTGTATAAAGAGTTATCATCAACAATTTTTTCGTCACAACGTGAAGAACTTGCTTCTCTGATGACATTTTTTTAATTATAAAATAATTATTCAAAATAAATTTCACTGCACAAATACGTCTATTCATGTCGAAATACAGAAACGAACTGTTAAAGAGCGAGTGAAAAAGAACTCCGATAGAAAAAAACGCTCCTAGTGAGAATTAGATCCGTCACAGTTAGTGATAACAATTAGATGGGAAAGTTGACACATAGGTGTCAAGAATGTGCAGTTATTGTCAACAAAAGTAAAAAAATATTAGACTTGGAATAGTAGAAATTAAATTTAAATAAATAAATAAGAAATAAATGAATGAGTAAATAAATAAATACATTATAAGTATTTATGAATTAAAAAAAAACATACACAAGAATCGAACCCAGGAACTCAAGCATAAGAGTCAGGATCATTACCACTCAGCCACAGGACACTCAAATGGAAGCACGTATAATTTATATATAAAGTGCTAAAAAAAACTAAGTTCGTTTTTCTCGATTTATATTTGAGTATTGCACTTTAGTATTTTACAGGTAGTACACTCACATGGTGTACTATCTCTACACCAAAGATCATCAAAATCCGTTTCCCCAAAGCCGTAGGGTCTCCTTGTAAGTAAAGATAAGATTATAAAACCAGTCTTGGATGAGCAGCATTTAAGAACATTCAAAACACTAGAAATTTACAAAGCATTAAAAAATGAATGCATTAATTATAAAACTCTCCTTTTCTGTTCCTTATTTGATAACTCTCTAGAACAGGGATGGGCAACCCACAGCCCACGTTAATATTTTTTGTGGCCCATGTCACATAAAATATGAATAAATATATCAATTTCCCAGCTTGAAGAAGTATGCAGCAAAAATTCAAACGTTATTTTCCTACAACTTATTTATATGAATAGTTTTTCTGTAATGAATTTAGTAAAAATTAAAACAAGAAACCGGCTAACAGACACATCAAAACTAATTTAAAACAAGCAGTGACTAATATTTAACAAAATATTTCCATTTACATTAGTTCCAGAAGTTTAATTAAGTATACCTTTGCTAATTTATAATTATATATGAATAAATAATTGTGATTTATTGACATTTTTTTTTCTTTTCTCTTGTATGCGGCCCACGTCAATTCAAAAGTTTTGAAATGCGGCCCTTACATAGAAAAAGGTTGCCCATCCCTGATCTAGAAACAAGGGACAGTTTTATACAGAGAGAAAATGCAAGTTATTAGGGCCTGATATGTGCTGAATTATATTCAATAATAAATTATTTCAGTTACTCTTTGGATATTTTATAGTATACTTATTTTTACATATTGAATATTTTAAATTTAAACATTAAGATCATAGAATGCATTTAACATTCATCTATGGAATTTCAGAACCAATGTATTTTTTGAATGCTAATGCTAAACCTGAATCAGGTTTATGAAGAAACTAAAAAAGTTTGTTTGCTTATCATAAATAAACCCAACCAGGAAAAGTATGAAAGGTATGGTTTTGATGTTAGTTGTTCCAGCATTAGTACTTTGAATTGCATAAAAAATATTTGTATAAACATTTATAACAGTTTTCTATTATATAAATTCATTGATTTACATTCATTCTTTCTAAATTTAATGATATTGCTTCTTTATATTCTGTAAACCAAGCAACTATTTCAAAATGTAGCTAAATAGAATAACTCAATATAATAAACCATTGATAATCAGCTTATATTTTTAAAGATATTTTCTTCCTTTTTAGTCCTTATTTTTCTCTCCATTTTAGTCCTTATTGTACAATATTAATGTTTTATATCATTATATCTTAATAGAATTTTTTTTAATTTACACACTGAGCCATATGAATAAAAACAAGCATTACCTTATTCTTGTGTAATATGAAGAAAATCCTTTTAGCCATATGAATAAAAATAGAAGCAAAACCTTAAACTTATGAGCATGAAACAAATGCTTTTAAATGAAAGTTTTGCTTTAGTAATAAGTATTCCATGTGAATAAAAGTAAGTATTTACTTCGAATTATAAGCATACCCTTGAAAATACATGCATCTAGTCATATGTAGACTCAATTGCAAGAAATATGGCTTGGTTTTTTTTATCTAGGTTTATTTTCTATTAACATTTAACCATAGCTGAAGTAGTTAGTCTAAGGAAGGATAAATATTACAAACTTTGTTCCTCTCCACAAGTCAGTGATTTCAAGGCATAAGTTTGAAGAAGAAAGTATTGAATTGTTGGCACATAATGTTTTAGGAGTGACAACTGAATCATGCAGTAATGTGCTAATTTCTTTACAAAAAATGAAAATATGTTTATGATATTTAGATGATCCTGGATTCCAAAAAAGCATAAGAGAAGAACATGGTTTAGAGCAGTCAATATTATCACAAACTATGAGCAATGTTGCGGAGAAAATATACTCACATAGGAATAGAAAAACCTAGAGTCCTAGAATTCATGGTGATGATTACATTAATTGAAAAGGAAAATCCACATTAAACATACAAACTACCTGCAATGCCAGATGTATATTCACTACCATTGATGTTAGTTGGATATCCATATCTATACTACTTAACAAAGGCCAACACACATATGATTAATATAAATTTAATACAGTTAATAAAATAGAACATGGGGACAATGTTAAATGTGATATAACTTGCACGTCGAGAACCTTTTACTCATTTACCAAAAGTATTTGCTCAGAAGAGTATGATAATCATTATTCATACCAAACAGAGAAAATGCTTTTGCTTCTACCTTTTGCTCAAAGCACTTGCTTTTATTCCTAATAGCAGGGGTGTCAAACTGGCGACCCCGGTGTGATTTTTCATGGCCTGCAGCTACGATGCTCTGAAATGACATAAAACGGCTTACAGATCAAGATTAACTGATAAACATCTATCTGCCACAATGATGATTGTTCTCAGTCTGAATCCAGATATTAGAAAACTAGGAGGAGGAAGATAGTGCTGGCAAGTTTCCATTGAAAACAATTAATTTTAGTTTTATAAATATGTACATTACATAAAATAAATGTTTAAATAAAAACACTATAGTAATTATATATTATTGAGTTGAATTCACTGAACTACATTATGTGTTTTAATTTCCTTAATAATGTGTTTTAATTCTTGCATTCTCACTTCAAATTATAATTTTAAGAAAATTTGTAAATGTGATGTGGCCTGCGTTAATTTTACCAGTCGCATTAATGGCCCATTGTTTAAATGAGTTTGACACATCTGCTTAATAGCATTTCCTTTGCTTTTATTCATACAGGCCATTCTCATGAAACATATGTTTAAGTGTTAGCTGTTCAGTTTGATTATTTTTTTTACTATATGACAAATGTGATAAAATATGCCAAAGAAAATCTTATACAAAGAGTAAAGATTTAAAAATGGTATATTTCATAAATATATAGTAAGAAATTAGAAGAAGCATTGTTAAATACAAACCTGTTGGAGCTAAAAATACTGTGTTCTTTTCTCCATTTCGAATTTGATGTGCCAATTCTTTTATCAGCATTATTGCAATAAAAGTTTTTCCTGCACCAGTTCCAAGACAGGCAATGACATTTTTCTTTCGTGCGGCATCAAGAATTTCAAGCTATAATTTAAAAACAAAAAATTTATAAAAATCAAAATTAAAATTCTTACATTTTCGACATAAAATGAAATAGTTACATTAATTGTTGGAAAGAAAAAATTACATAACTTATTATTCAATATTGAAATATTGCAATTTGTTACACTGAAATGGTAATAATGCATTATGAACACTAGATTAATACAACTTAGAATATATAATGCAACAATAAATGGTATATTTACTAAACAAATATAAGTAAAACATTCATGATTAATGTATGCATTCTCTATGTAAACTTACTCAAATGATAAACAAATATATTTGAGAAATGGTTTACAAAGTTTTAAAAATAAAATTGTATTTCTAATATGAATTATTTCCATTAGATAAATATTGTTATATTTTCACAGTATAAGATTAAATTTTACTTAGGGAAGAGCTTATCATTTTTTAAAATATTTTATTTTCAGATTAATCTTAATTTTTGAAAATATTATAGTTATAAATATTCAGAAATCATTTTTTTATAGTAAATTATATTACCACAATGCAACACTGAAGTATGTATATTAGTAATTTAAAATTTTATTATTAGATTATGAAAATCCTAAAAAGTTCCAAATATCAGATAAGACTCATTAATAAGAATTCTTTTGATGTTTGGTAAAATTATAATGGAACCATTACCAGACAATTTTTATTATATCTTTTGAACAGTTAATCTGAGAATCTAGTCTTAAAATTAAATTATTGAGTCTACTGAAAAACTGATAAATAATGACAACATTAACTCTCAAAAAGTCTACTGCCAGGGTTCCACATTACCTGAAAATAAACTGATAAAAATTAAAAATCAACATGATTATGCCTATGTATCAGTTTGCTTCAGCTAAGCATCAGCCTACCTGAAAATCAAACTTGGTAACTATTGACAATATACATCTTTTTTAACCGCATCTATTTTTTCAGTTTTGAAAATTTCCAGATTCTTCTGAACTTGTATAATCAACAATACATGAAGACAAAAACAAAAACGTTAAAAGTAAATACATATACAATCTTGAACTGAAGATAGATCAGATAATATTCTGAGTGAGTATTTTGATAAAAATCAAACTAAAAGTGTCAGTAAAGGCCCAATTTCATGCTTCAAGCATATACTTGATTTATCTTCTATAGAGAAACTGATCGATTAATTATCTCAGCATTATATATGACTATACTAAAATTTTTGTATTTTAGCTGCAATGCCCTAACCTAGATGAAACAGTTAAATCATTCATTCCTGAAGTTTAGATTGTCTTTTGACTTCAACTGATCTCTCAAAAGTTAGCAAATAATCCTAAGGAAACTCTATTCTAGGGAATTATTCAACTCTACAATTATCAGTCAAAAACACTTTTGAATAACAAATCTTTTATTATGTCTCTCCAAACATTAGGCTTTCTTCACATTTCAAGATAAATACAGGTATCCCTCGTATAACATGGTAATTATGTTAAAAAAAAAGTGCCGCAATTATGCAAATCTGTGCTATATGAAGCAAAGGGCTAATGCAAAACATAGGGTTACATTTTGTATTAGTCCTTTGTTTTGTATAACATGAAGTAATTATGTTCCAGAAGTTAGCAAATGTATACTATTTTTTTTCATTACTAACTTGTAAGAGAAATATGTTTATTAAAACAATCGATAATTTATATCCAATCAATTAATTAACAATCACAATTAAAATTACTATATTACTTGTTAATATTAATTTTAGTTAAATGGTGTTTTCTTTTTACAAAATATCATCATCATCTCAACTTTTTTGTTGATTTTGATCAAAAGTATCAGCAACATTTTTGTATTTTTTATTTTTAGCATAGAAAAGTTTTATGGACAAAGAAATAAAAATATATTATTAATTGAAAATTTGTTCTAGTGAGTCTCATTCGTTCAGTCAAGTACCAAGTGACTTTTTCCAGAATTTGTGTTCGAATACTGAATTGTTTGAGTACTGAAATATCCCTGTATTTTGTTCGTCATTTTTATGAATGAAGTAACATTTTTAGGTAAGTAATACCCACAGTTAAAGTGTTTAATAACAATTACCTAAAAAAATTTAAATAAACTTTACTAAATACAAAGATTAATCTACAAAAAAAAAACAGTGACAGTCTTAAGAGCTAAAATCTGAAAGCAATGACAATGATATCTAGTTGATAAAAAAGTTAGGACAAGGAAGAAAAAAAATTGCACTATCAGTTTTCATTGAAGTAAACCTGATAAAAAAGCATAAAATAATTTGAAAATTTCAATATTCTAAAATCCATGGGCAAATTTGAGATAACATGCACTTACTTAAATAAAAAAAAATGTTTGATATATATATATATCAAAACAACAAAGTTTACACTTAAAAATTGTGAAATTTCGTGTGGAGGATTTATGTTAGAGTGAAACTGGAAATTGTATTTTATGGGGGATATCCCCAATTTTCAAACCATGTTGTAGAAATACTGTGTTGTATGAGGAATTAGTAATAGGACAATACCAAAATTTCCCCCAATTTTGATTTTCATTCTGTTGAAAACTCCCAATTCCGATTCTTTTGAATATTTTCTAAAAGTTTATCTCAGTTTAGAAAAATTAACGATTTACATTACACGTAAATTCATTAATTAATAAACAAAGCTTAAGAATGGAAAACAATTGGGAAATCCAGATTCAAATTTTTGAAAGAAATGTGAAAATTCTCCATTTATATGTGGATACCCATACTTTTTATTGTGCACTACAAAATAAATTTGTAAACTTATTTCCAATAAAGCTAATATTGCAACACTATCTCCAAAGAAATTACAGCTAATTCCATTTTTACTCAACGAACTATCCCATCATCTCATCTAGGGTCACCATCTTTAGAATCTGTTTTATTGGCAGATGCAATGACCTGGGAAAAGGAAGATAAAGAGATGTGCTTTTTCCACGCTTCTCACAAGGAAAATGTCTCATAAATAATTTAACTTCACTGTATTTATTAATACTAAATGAGGTTCGGCAAATGATGCAACAAACTGAACAAATATCATCATCACAAGTTAACCGATTTTTGAATTCATTCACTTCAGCCATGAATATCTTGACCGACACATCTTGAAAAATCAATTTTTAAAACTCAAAACAGCATTAAACTTATTGTGAACAAGTATTTTTACTTAGAATTGCACAAATCACATTTGAAAATTTAATGTATTATGGCATCATCTGTGAATCATAACAAAAACTTTCATAATTATAATGAGAAAGTAGTTTTATCATTATAAGTAAACATACTAAATATTAATAATAATTTTATATATATTTTCAATTAACATATAATTTTGTGTACATTTTAAACTGTTTTTCCAACACTTAAATATTTTTTTGCGACCACCAGCCTTGATTTGAAACTAGATAACATTGAACTATCACGCTAACTTGTTTATAATTAAAATTTTTTAAAAACTGACAAATTTATAAAGCAAAAAGTTAATGAAATTACTAAAAACTTAAAATAAATTTACATTTGATTATCTTTTGTGCAAAACAACACTAAAACAATTTCTATAGCTACATTGCAAAAAGAAACTGTTGCAATTAATTAAAAAAATTAAAATTAAATCAAATGAAAATTAAAACAAATGTTCTTAAAAACTGTTCAAAAGTTGTTTTGAAACTTTCAAATTGTAAATCAAATTAATTTTAAAATTTATGTTATTTGTGTGTGGTGGTTCTATATACAGTATATATAAATATACAGTAGAGCATCAATTATCCGAATCAATTGGGAACTGGGGTTGTTTGTAAAAACGATTTTTCGGATAACTGATTATGTATGAAAAAATATATTAACCTATCCCATGTTGAAATTCATTCAAATCCTGGCATGTCCTTAAGTACTCTCTCATGGTTGCACCAGTGCTGCCAGCTAGAACACACATACACCAACAAAAATAATATTGGAGTAGCCCAAGACATAGCCAAAGATTGCAGCGCCACAGCACTAGCGGAAATTTAAATTTGTCGACTGGAAAGCTTTCAGTTAATTAACATTTTGGTTGATCAATATTCAGATAATCGATGCTCTACTGTATATATAATATAGATTCCCAGTCAAGATGGACTATTGCCCTATCTCCCATAAACTGGGAACAGTTAGTATTGACCCTCATCACTCTGACGGACATCACCTCATGTATGGGGCATTGCATACTCTGTTTTGTCCAGGACTGTGGAGTTGGAGTCGGGAGGAATTTCTGGCCAGAGGAGTCGAAGTTGGGAAAAATGTGTCGACTCCGACATTTTAAATTTAATTAGGTTTTTTTTATTTAAATGAAAAAAAATTTCTTGAACTTCATCAATACATGAAAAATGTGAAATGACACAGTTGAAACTGAGAGATTACGAAACCACAAAAGAAAGTCAAACAATTTAAGGAACGAACAAAATATGTCATTAATAAATGATTATCTACAGATGAGAAAGGCAGATAGACATGGGTATTTTCAGATAATTTTTGAATGCAATGCCAATAATGCTCCTTTCTCAAATTGGTAATGCCAATACCTAGGTTAAACTATAAGAAAAAATCTGTCCCTTTAGATGAGAAAAAAAAAACTGTAAAAAATTTTTTGTAGGAATATGAAAGTGCATTTTAAAAGTTCAACAGTTCAAGCAGCAGAAAAGATTAAANTACAAATAAATATTAATGTAAGTTAAATATTAAAAATACTAACTATAAAAGTATTTGGGTAAATGCCTGGGACTCCTTTTAAAGTTCAGAATAGGGTAACCCCCTAAGAGCACCTCTGCCTCCCATAAAATGACTTGGTATTTAATTTTGCTGGAGTCAGAGTTGGCCTACTAAAATTATCAGGAGTCAGAGTCAAGTGTTTTTTACTGACTCTGCAGCCCTGGTTTTGTCAATGTGAAAGTTTCCAATAAACTAATATTTAATTGTTAGTATCGTAATTTGAAAAATTTTTAATCTT